ACCACCCGGGGAAGGCCAATGTGGTGGCCGATGCTCTTAGCCGCAAGGCTGCCCCGATCAGAGACGTTTTCTTACGGATGACAGTGGTGACTCCGCTTCTGGAGCAGATCCGAGAGCCCCTGCAGGACGCTATGAAGGAGGAACATCGGAAGAGCGAGTGTATTGTGGGACAGGTTTCCTCCTTCGACTATGATAGCCGTGGGTTGTTGACGCTACATCGTAGGGTGTGGGTTCCCTATCATAGGGTTCTGATGGAGGAGGCGCACAAATCCAGGTTTTCTATTCATCTCGGGGCGACAAAGATGTATAGGGATCTTCGCCCTGATTACTGGTGGCCCTGCATGAAGCCGGATGTAGCATGGTATGTAGAGCGGTGCTTGACCTGCAGGAAGGTCAAGGGCGAGCACCAGAGGCCACAAGGCAAGATGCAACCGCTAGATATTCCCATGTGGAAATGGGAGGATATTACCATGGATTTCATCACCAAACTTCCCAGGACAGCGCGAGGAGTGTATTCCATATGGGTCATCGTGGATCGGTTAACCAAGAGTGCCCATTTCATACCGATCCAGGAGAGCATTTCGGCCGAGAAGCTGGCCGATATTTATATTTGAGAGGTTGTAGCCCGACACGGAGTGCCAGTCTCTGTGATTTCTGACAGAGATGTGCGGTTCACTTCCAAATTCTGGAAGAAGTTCCACGACGAGTTGGGTACTCGTCTGCACTTTAGCACCACTTTTCACCCGTAGACGAATAGTCAGAGCAAGCGGACCATCCAGACTCTAGAGGATATGCTGCGGGCATGCGTTTTAGACTTCGGTGGTAGCTGGGATACCTACTTTCCATTAGTTGAGTTCTCCTACAACAACAGCTACCACGTGAGTATCGTTCGTCCTCCCTTCGAGATGTTATATGGGAGGAAGTGCAGGACCCCGATTTGCTGGGGTGAGTTGGGGCAGAGAGTCATGGGGAGTATCGAAGTGGTACTCAAGACTACGGAGAAGATCCAGCAGGTCAAGAGCAGGCTTCAGACTGCTCAGAGTCGGCAGAAAAGTTATGCCGACAAGCGTCGTTCGGACCTTGAATTCCAGGTCGGGGATATGGTCCTCCTGAAGGTGTCACCTTGGAAAGGTGTCATCCGGTTCAGGAAGCGGGGCAAGTTGGGCCCCAGGTACATCGGTCCTTTCAGGGTTGCTGCCCGGGTGAGCAAGGTGGCATATAGGCTGGATCTTCAAGCCGAACTTAGTCAGATTCATAGCACCTTTCATGTCTCCCAGCTGCGGAAATGCTTGGTAGACGACTCTGTAGTGGTACCTCTCGAGGATATTCAGGTGGATGATAGCCTGAACTACATAGAGCGACCAATAGCCATTCTGGATAGGAAGACGAAGGCGCTGAGGAACAAGGAAGTAGAGCTGGTAAAGGTGCAGTGGTAGCACCGCAAGGGCTCAGAATGGACTTGGGAGCCTAAGGATGAGATGAGAGAGCACTACCCCGAGTTATTTTCAGTAGCGGCAACGGACTTCGAGGACGAAGTCTAATTCAAGTGGGGGAGATTTGTAGCATCCGGGATTTTCCAGGTATTATTATTGATCATCTTAATTGAAGTATGGAATGGTTTGGTTTGGGCCTTAAGAGAATGGGCCTGGACTTTTGGGCCCCGTGGCCCACTGTGAAGTATAAGTTTGGACTTGAGAATCTAGAATTAGAGTATTGGGCCTATTGGGCCATGATTGGACCCTTTTGGAATTACTATATTAGGACTCTGAACTTTTTGGGCCCATTTAGGGGTTAAGGCCCGATTCAGAAATTGGGCTATTAGTGGGCCCTTAGGGAGTCCTTGATGGGCCATAGAAGGGCTGAGCTTAATAAACTACAATTGGGACTTATGAATGTTCCAATCGGACTAAGGGGTAAAATGGTCATTTTACCCTAAGTGGCATTATAGATGTTGATTAAGTATTATTATGATTAGGACAGCCGGGAGTCATCAGAGCAGCAGTTAGAGGTTACTTCCCGTGAGATTCGACACTCAGCTTGGCGAGGTGAGTTACCTTCCATTAGAAGTGGGTCTAAGGCCACAATGTCGGCCCACTGGTAGGAGTTCGTAATTAGATAATTGTCTGTGTGATAATTATTTGGTATGCCACTATCTGTTAAGTTATATGTTCCAGTATGTTATGATTTTATGTGGTAGTGGTATGGGGTGAAGTACTCCCCGGTATCCGGTTGAAATAGACCGAAGGGGAGGCCAGCACCCAGATATGCTAGGCAACTATCCGATTGAAATAGACCGAATGGGAGGCCAGCACCCAAATGTGCTAGGCAACTATTTGGTTGAAATAGACCGAAGGGGAGGCCAGCACCCAGATATGATTGGCTAGATATGTTATTGTGTGGTATGTGGTATGATGGGGGAACTCACTAAGCTTTGTGCTTACAGTTTTCAGTTTTATTTCAGGTACCTCTTCCGCGAAGGGGAAAGAACCGGCACGGTAGCAGCGCATCGCACACACATGATTTCCGCATTTTGAGATTTATAGGATTTGTAGTCTGACATTATTACTACTTTCTGTTACGATTTGAGACATGTGTTTATGGTATGATGACTTGAAACGATGATGACGTTGTTTTTCAGTAAACGATTTTATAATTATTACATTTAAAAACGAAAATTTTTGGTTGTAAATATTGGGGTGTTACATTCTTCCATACAACTTCCATCAGTAGATGAAAACAAGGATTCCAATTCAAAACCTTATTCTTCATATCTTGTAACAACTTTAACACCCAAATTTGAATCTGTACTCCAAATGTCTCACCATTATCTTATAAGCACAGGCTCGTGTCTTACCTCATATTTAAAAGGGGAATTAATTGTACCTTTAATGTATTTGCTATCTATTGATAGCTCGAACTACTTTGATAAACCTAGGTGTAATATGAAACTCCCTTGCACATTGGTATCTATTAGTGAAGTGCAATTGACATCAGGTATCACCATGCAAGGTGTTGCCACATTTACCAAGGTACAATCTATCTTTTCAAGCAATGAAGTTGCACTACTACTTGAAGTAGAAGAGGGTATCACTAGTGTTCTAGATAAATCTAAACGATTTGCAGCTAAAAAACATGATTTTCTAACATGTGTGGAAGGGCTCAAGGGATTTGATAGAGACGAGCTTCTTAATAGTGACAGCAGGGGGAGTTGTATTATCACAGACCATGCTCATTTAGTTCTTTTAAATATTTATGGGTCTCAAGCTGCATATGAAGATACAAAGTGGCTTGATTTCAAGCTCTCATTCTACAAAATACTGCAGAATAGATGGGAGAATCTCATTCTCAAAGAAAGAAGGATAATTGTTTGTTGGTGATTCAAACATTGCTCTTTCTGTTGATGGGTGTGATACAAGACCACATTTTGAAAATAATGACCCTAGAAGTTGGTTCGGATCTTTACTTATGTATAACAGAGGCTTTTTCTTTGATGTGAACAGAGCAAAACATCCTGACAGACAAGAAGCTTGTGCTACAAGCATGGATGGTGACGTGTTCAACTTTAGTTCCAGAATGGACCATATTTTAAGTGTTGGTTCATGCTTACATCAAGATACAGATATCAAAGGTCACAACTCTTTCTCTTGCCATGTTAAAGAATGTGACATCTTAATACCATTCAAATGGTGGAAACCAGGAACCACACCGAGCTAGCGATGGGAAGGAAGAAGAAAAGCAAAGGTGCAAGGATGTCAACAGACTCTTGTGTCGATGTCACAAAGGCAAAACATTGAGGAAGTTAAAACCAATGAACAATCAGTCCGCAGAGGTGAGTGCAGAGAAAATAAAAAAATTGTGTTGGCTATAACACAACATGGAGGGGGTCTTGCTTTATTTGAGAGTCTTATTGCATCTAATATATGGTGGGTGCTAGTTGTGAAAGAATTCCATGGGGTTATGCACACTAACCCTTCATGCATGCTCAAAAGACGAATCCTCCACATACTGGACCTGCATCTTCTTTGGATCAAGACCCATATGTCAATATTGCAGATGATTTGGATTGTTTTCCAAACCCTAGGCTTGAGGACAAGCCTGTTTCAAGACGGTGGTATTGATAGAGAACGAGTCAAATATTTACATAGGGCAAACATGGAGGGACCTGGTTGTAATGTTTATTACTTTATGTTTTACACCTCACTCTAGAATCATCCTTTGTGAGGTTAAATAGCATTAGTCATAGCAATAGGATTCATTCAGTCTTTTGAAATTAAAGTCTTCGGCATTAGCTTGGGCAGGAGGTCATCTCTTTGAGACCCTCTCTGATTTAGGGCAGGAAGGATAATCA